AAATAAAGTTGCCTGGGGGTCAGAGCTAATAGCAAGCCATAGCAGAGCTGGGCGTTCATGGCGCACGCCTTTAATCCCAGCACTTGGTAGGCAGAGCTAGGTAGATCTCTGTGTGGTCAAGGAGACACATGCCTTTAATCTCAATACCAACCATAGAAGACCTGGAGGTCTGTACAGACAGGCAGTGATGAGGCAGTCATGTGGTTGGGTTTACAACCAATAAGAAGGCAGAACAGAAAGTCTATACAAAGACAGACACACAGGAAGTAGGTCTCTCTTGGCTGAAGAGGATCACTGAAGCAGGCAGGGTAAGGCTCTTAGCTCTGACCTCTTGGGCTTTTATCTTTACATTGGCTCTGTGTTTCTTATTTAATAAGATTTAAATAGATTTAAAAAGATTCTAAAACGGAGCTAAAAACAGTTCCTAGTTGTCTCTTTCAAGTTAGCGGCAGCCTGCGTATTTGAGCTACTATGGCGGGTTCCTGACGTGCACGCTCGACCTGCAGTATGGCGGGAATGAGGCCTCTGCAAGTGGCACATTAAGCTGCGTGGTGGATTTAGCCTTTGCTAGTACAAAACAAAAAAAAGAGGTTTCTGGGCTACACGCTGCTTGGATAGAAGCATAGACCCACTATTTCTAAGAGTTGATGGCTCCCAGAGCTGGCGGAAAACGTACCACCGCCATGTTGGGAAGCTGAGGTGGGCGGAGCCAGCAGCCACAGCACCTTTTCAGTCTTAGAAGGCTGCAGTTTAAAGCAATAGGTTCACAATAAGACTGATTCAGATGGAATAGTTTACAATGTATGTAAAAATGTACATAGGCTTCAAAGAGAGAGAAAAAAGAATATATACAGTTATATAAACAAATAGTTTTTAAAAATAAAGTCTTTAAAAAAACAGTAAAGGTAATAAGCCACGTAAAGATGGCTCTCACACAGAGAATCTGGATTATGTTCTCTTTGATATTCGTATCTAAAGAAAAACATTTGATTTTAAAAGCTGTTGAGTTATGCCAAAATGTATACTTTAAAGGTACCTTGACTCCAAAATTTGAATCTAAGGATATGTTGCTTTGGAAAGGAGGCTCTGCTTTTGTTTCCACAGAAAGCCAGAGGCTATGGATTTGTTCCAGATTAAGATACATCAGGTTTGACCAGCCAAGACCCCCTGAAAGGTCTCCGATGACACCATGGCCCAGATGATCCAACATCAAGAATGGTTTAAAGGCAACTGGCTCAGACAATACAGCCTCATGGACTACTCCATAATCCTAAAATTTTCTTTGTGTCCCCATAAGATACAGCGCCCCCCTCCAGCAGGAAGTAGTAAGAGAAGCTACGCCCAAATTCCCAAATTATAAGTAATTTTACTACATTAAGGTTAAAACCTTCCTTTTTGAAAAAAAAAAAGAAAAGGGGAAGTACTGTGGATATCATTCTTGAAAACTCTAGCTACAGTGGGGGGAACTTAGGAATCCAGAATATTATTATACTTGAACTCAGCTGAGTGTCCTCACCTTGGAGCTCAATGTTGTGGAAGACTGGCTAGCATCTCCACCATGTGTGTTCAGGGGTCTCACACTCCTAGTCAACTCTATTGTTCACCTGGCGGCTGAATTCACAGTTGCCTTTACTAATCCCAGACTTTGATCTGAGAGCCTGTCTTCATGTGAACACCAAAGTGAGTTGCTGAGTATAGTTTCTACTTGTGCTATGCACACAGAGCACATACTCATGAACTTTCACCAAATACCTCTAAAACACTTCACCTTACAGAGTTGAAAATTTGTACTGTTACAACAGTAACTGCTCACCCCTCCCCACCCCACCATCTTTTTTTAAACTTCATTTAGTTGATTTTATTTTATTTAAAAAAAAAAATTGAGACAAGATCCCAAAGCCCAGGCTGGCCTCAAAGTCCTAATCTTTCTACCTCCAACCCACCAGGGCTGGCAGTAAAGGCGGGCACCACCAGATCTGGACCCTCCTTTCATTTCTTCCAGGGCTTGGCAACCACCACTCAGCTTTTAGTCTCTATAACATTTGACTGTTCTAGGGACTTCATGTTGGTGGGTCCCACGGCGTGGGTCCTCTGAGTGACTTACTTCACTTGGCATAGTGTCCTCAAGGTCCCTCTTCTAGCATACATCAGAATGTCCTTCCTTTTTAAGACTGGGTAATTCTCGCTTGTGTGGAGGTCCCACATTTTGCCTGTCCACTGATAGATATTGGGTAGTTTCATTTCTGCTACTGTGAATAATGTTGCTATGAGCACATGTGTGCAAAAATGTTTTGAGGATTTGCTTCCAAGTGTCCTATTGATCATACGGTGTGGCTTCTTATTGTTTAGAAGTCCTATATCATTTCCCATAGTGGCTATGGTACTCATGCCAACAGAGATCAAGGGTTTCCAAGCTCCTACCCTGCCTAACACTTGTCTTTTTCTGTTTCCTTGCCAACACCCTCCTGAAGCCTTAACTAATTATTCTTTACCAATAAAAAGTCAGGAATCAGATATCAGAGTAAGAGCCCGAAAGATCAGAGAAGCAGGGAGCAGCCACTAGTCACCTCCAACCTCTTCTGCTCTTTCCTCCAACGGGGCCTAGACCCTCTTTCAACCCCACCTTACTACTTCCTGTCTCCTATCTGTCTACAGTCCTCAAAACCTCTATGGTTAATTTTAGTCAGCTAGTGGCTAGCTCTGCCCTCTGACTCCAACAAGCTTTATTTGTCAGAACACAGTCAAAATATCACAGAACAGCCCCATGGATGGGGGAGGTGCCTCAGTGTACTAGTCACTCAACTTGCCATTTCTCTCATGATGGTGATACTGAGCATTTTCTTGTGCTTCTTGGGCACTTGATTTCTGTTTTTAAGAAGTATATATTCATGTCCAGTCCCCATATTTTTCAATGTGTGATATGAGTGTTTTCATGGGTGCACATGCCCACTGTGATGGTTTGAAGAAGAATGGGCCCCATAGGCACATATACTTTCTTGCTTAGTTACCAGGGAGTAGCACCATTTGAAAAGATTAAAAAGATTAGAAAATGTGGTCTTATTGGAGAAAGTATGTCACTGGGGTGGGCCTTGAGATTTCAAAAGCCCATGCCAGGCCCAGTATGTGTCTGTCCCCTCCTTCCCCCGAGATCATGATGTATAACTTGCCTTCATTTCACAATGCTCCCACCATGATGGTAATGGACTAAACCTCTGAAAGTGTAAAAAAGCTCCCAATTAAATGTTTTCCTTTATAAGAGTTACTTGGTCATGGTGTCTCTTCTCAGCAATAGAAGACTAAGACACTCATGCATATACAAAGAGACCAGAGGATGATGTCAGGTGCTCCTCTATCACTGTCTGCCTTATTCCCTTGAGACAGGCTCTCATTGAAACTGGAGCCGGGCTGGAAGCCAACAAGTGCTAGGGATCCTCCTGCCTCTGCATCCTACAGCACTGGGGTTACAGGCAAGGTTACACAACCTTGCCCAGCTCTTTTCACATGGATGTGAGGGATCTGAAGAATTCAGTTCCTCACACTTGTGAAACAAGAATTCTTACCCACGTGCCATCTCCCCAGGCCTGTTGCTTTGCATTTTTGACATAGTGTCTCCCTATGCAGCTGAGCTAGCAATTAGTTCATCATGAAGTCCAGGGTGGTCTGAAACTTGCAATCTTGGGGCGGCTCTGAATCTATGTACCACTATGAGTAGTGTTGACATCATAATCATATTAACACTTATAAATTCCTCTCATAGTTTTACATCCAGTTTAATATATTTAGCACTAGTTTACATTTTTCTGTGTACAAATCAAATGTATCGTGTGTGTGTGTGTGTGTGTGTGTGTGTGTGTGTGTGCATGTGTGCTTTCCTGTTCCTCCTTTTCACTGTTGTAGAGCCGACACACACTGAGTATATACAAGGACACATGACACTTTCAGAACAACTGCTACCCCTGGGGCGGCTGAGGGGGAGGCAGGCAGGAGCAAAAGGAGGCTGCAAGAACATTAGCTGCATCTACAGATTTTTCCCCTTTTAGTAGGAAGTCTGTACCCACTGTGCTCTCTCCATTTGAAATCTTCAAAGTTTAAAATGCCAGAAAAATTGTAAACTCTAAAACTATGGATTCTCCGAGCTGTACTGCAAGCTAAACAAACATGACTTTGCTCATACTTTCTCTGAAGTCAATAAGCCAAACCTGCCCTGTCACCTTTAGGCTAATTTTGTTCTAGCTATGGCAAGAAACCAAGGAAACAACCACAGTTCTCTCAGTGAGAGGAGAAAGGATGCCATACTCTACAAGCCTTCACACCAGTATGCCTAACTGACCCTGCATGGGCAGCCTGAGACAGCTCAGTCTACCTCTACATGTGGAAGTTGAGGGGCACCACAGGAACCCAAGCGACTTTCTAAGGATGACACATCCTACAGCATCCAAGTGAAAAAACAAGGAAATAGGTTTTTTATGTCACATGCCAAAGTGGGTCTTTCCAAGACGATTTAATGCACTCATTTCAAAGTGTTTTCCTCATGAGATAAAAGGTAAGGCAGGGGAGAATTTTACAGGAAAAACAATCTAAAGACAGTGCATGAACAGTCAGGTTAGGGGTCATGAGTTTCTAAAATTAAATCGCAAACAAACATGGAGTTTGGACTCATAGGAATAATCTTGACAGGGTGTGGCTTAGATACACTCCATGCCAGATCATGAGGAATTTTTCAAAGGGTGGGATTAAATCAGATTCTCGCACCTTTAATCTCTGACACGAAGGCAAACCTATAATTTTTCAGTAAGAAAAATTAATCAGGAAGTAGTTTAGAATATGGCTAAATCTAGGAATGGTTCCCTAATTAGCATAAGAGGACAAAAAGTCCCATTTAGTTCATAAAGACAAACACGGAGCTAGTCTGGAGGCTGTGAAGAGACACTGGAGAGGATAAACAGGCTCTGAGTTTGCATAGATAATTCAAGACTACCAAGTAAACAAGCAGAACTCACAGCAAAAGTTGACCCACTGTTTGACGCCACGACAGTGTGATCTTCATCATGTAACTTGATGGAGAGCTCCCACTTAGCCGCATCTGTTCTAACAACTGGCACTCTGAAGCAAAAAGAAAGCAAAAGAGTTAATTATATATTACTCTCTATCAATAAACTAATTTCCTTTCACATTAGTGGAGTAGAAGAGTCAAAGAACACACTTCACGTTTCATTTTACTAATCCCACCCTTAGAAAAACAGCTTTCAGCTATAAATTGGGGAGATTTTAAAAATCAGACACTCCAATGACAGCAGCCCTCCTATTGTAATTGTGGCACCGTCACCTCATCAAAGAGCCTTTGTGGTATCTGAATGTCACTGGCCTGCATAATCTCATAGGGAGTGGCACTATTAGGAAGTGTGGCTTTGGTGGAGTGGGTGTGGCTTTGTTGGAGGAAGTGCATCACTGTGGGGCTGGCTTTGAGGTTTCCTATGCTCAGGATACCGCCCAGGTTCTTAGTTGACTTCCTGTTGCCTGCAAAATGTAGGACTCCCAGCTACTACTCCAGCACCACATCTGCCTGCATGCTGCCATGCTCCCCATCATGATGATAATGGACTGAACCTCGGAAACTGTAAACAAGACCCTTCAATGAAATATTTTCCTTTTAAGAGTTGCCGTGGTCAAGATATCTCCTCATAGTAATAGATCACTGACTAAGACAGACATCATCCATGCTCCATGTTATGAACTTGAATTGTGTAACTGTGACAGCCCTTCACAAATTAATCTTTCTTAAGCAGTATTATTTTTTGCTAACTATTCAAGGTATTTTTAAATAAAGTAAAATAAACAATGTGACAAAGTGTGTTAAATTTCCAAGACAAAAAAAAAAGAATTAGTCAGCATAATTTGGCATAGAAATTTGCAGCTTATTTACCCTTGTAGTCGATACAATTAAAATTGCAGTAAAGAATGGAGGAGGTGAAATCTCTCAATGAGTAAAGGTGCTTCCTACAGGCCTGAGGACCTGAATTCAATCCCTGAAATCCACATAAAAGTTGAAGAAGAGAACTGACTCCAAGGTTATCCTCTGACCTCCCCACCTACACACATACACAAACACACAACAGGCACATACATACACACAATAATAATAAAATAAAGTTTATTTCTTTAAAAAGAATGAACCACAATATCTTATTCTACTTGTAAACAATACAGAATGTTCCTCCATGGTGCCAACTGCAAACAAACCTACCTTAGCACATCAATGAGACTGAAACCATAAGGACAGACACTAAGCTACATTAAACCTCAAGACCTACAAGTTCACAAACACTGGCACACTATCATTGAACACCAAGAGAAGCCAGCATGGTTCCCATCTTGCACACAGCCTATGTCTTCTGTCTTCTCTAGTCTTGGCTTTGTGGTAAGCCTGGAATCCACACAAGGCTGCCAGAGCTCTAAACAAAGCTAGACTTGTCATACAAATGTACAGTTGGTGTTACATGGGGCAGAAAAAGTAGGTCAAGCTTCCAGGAAAAAAAATATAAAAGTCCCCACAATTTTGTTTTAAAAAGTAATGACTTCAAAATTAACCCTAGTGTCACACATTTATAGTCTTCATATCTTTAAAGCATTGTTAACGCTAGTACTTTTTAGTATCTAGGCTCTAGCTCTAGTCATGGATCTAAATTTAATGTTGCAGGTTATATTTTCATTCAAGCCTCTCAAATTTCAAAAGAACTGTGTTACCTGGTATTAAAAAAAAAAAAAAGCATAGTCATAAGCCTTGACTCTCAAGTCCCCTCTAGTTATGGGGTCTGGTGAAGGGAGATTAGCAGGTGAGAGGATGTTTGTACTGACAGTCAACTCCATCTGCTTAATGATGACTGTCTCAAATCCTACAGAAGAAATTTTGGAAGACACTGTGTTAGGTGACCTAAAGAGAATTGTTTCAGAGGCCAGAGCTGTGGTGATATTTTATTTGTGCTGAAATGTGATTTTATTTGTATGTTAATAAATAAAGTTGCCTGGAGATCAGAGCTAAGAGCAAGCCATTAAGCAGAAGTCTGGTAGTGGTATCACATGCCCTTAATCCAATCACATGGCAGGCAAAGTCTCTGTGTGGTCAAGGACACAGCCAGCATGGTGACACATGCCTTTAACCCAGTATCAACCATAGAGACCTGGAGGTCTGTATAGACAGGAGGTGACAAGGAAGTCATGTGGTTGGCTTTACAATCAATGAGAAGGCAGAACAGAAGGCAATAAAAAGACAGGATACAGGAAGAAGGTCTCTCTCTCAGGGGAAGGACGGCAGCGAGTGGTAAGATAAGGTGGTCTTAGCTCTTGGCTGCTCCTCGATCTCTGGGCTTTTAACTCTTTATTTGGCTCTGTGTTTCTTATTTAATAAGACCGTTTAGAATTTCATCTACACAGAGCTTCATACAGAGAATAAATAAGATTTCCTAAGGACAAGGACAGGAGAGAAAGGGGGAGGGAGGAAAGGAAGGTAATGATCAAGCAGGCAGGAGAGTGCTCTGTGTACCACAGCCTCACTCTAGCACCTGCATTTCACAGGGAAAAGTCACACCCCACTGGACTGTAGGTCTCAAGAAGGAGTACTATCATTCCTCATTTTTATTTATTGACTTATTTTTTCTAGTGCTGGGATGGAACCCATGGTTCTGTGCCTACTAAGCAAGAATCCTACCACTGAGCTAGAGCCCAGCCCATTCCTGAGGAGCCACACAAATGCAGCAGCGACAATGCCCAGGGCAGAGGGCAGTCTGTAGCTCCAGGAGCGCCCTGGGGTTGTCTCCTTGCTAGGCTACATTCCTGGCTCACCCTCCTCTCAGGTCCGCCCCTCTCAATACCACTACGTCACGGGGCTTTCCCACATCTTTCTTTGATAATAAAACTACATTCTTCCTGATTATGACAGTTCTATGGTATTCTACTTCACACCAAGTGAATTCTTAATTGAGCTTCTTACCATTCAGGTCCTTAAAAGAAAAGCCCCAATTTTTTGTAGCTTCCCTTTTTTCTAATTACTCTGGCGTGTGTCGGATTAAACCAGCTCCTCTAATTAAGGAACAAACAGGAGGCAGAGGACCAAGCACAGCAGCTATGAACCAGACTCTGCTGACCCACAGAAGTGTGGTGAGCTCTGCCTAGATTTCTGACCTTGAGCAAATTGACAGGATGCATGTCCTTCATAAAACAATAAAATAACAATGGTATCTGCGCTGACAGACACACACACAGAGGATTAAATGAAGGTATGCAAAGGTAACATGATTAGCCCCATCTCCAGGCCTCTCCTCTTGTTTTGGCCCATGACTGAAATCCTTCCATTACAGCAGCTTTGGCTTCCCTCTCCTCTGTCTCAAATTTTCCAAGGGGATTACCACCCTCATACCTGCCTCACTGATAATGTAATTGTACTGCCTTCCTTCCACTTAACCAGTACTATACGCTGTAGTATTTCAAAAAATTCAGCGGCAGTCAATGAGAGCGAAGGCCCTTTCCAGTGAGGCAGCCAACCTTTGCCTGCAGAGGAGGTGGGAAGTTGCTGATCCTAATGTCTTGTTCTAGCCCAGGACACTTTTTCCCACAGAAAACTATCTGGCAGATGGTGTCGAGACGGAGCTGTCTCTCCTTGGGACCCAGCCACTATTTATTTTTCCACCGCTTTATTTTGATCCACATCTGTTTCATATACATTGTAGCTTGCCCCAGGAGGGACCTTATGGAAGAACACAGGCTTCTGGAAGAAAGTCCAGAGCTCCTTCTCTCCTCAGTGATGCACTTGAGAACCCACAGAAACAGGCAGGTGACGGGAACCTCACTCCTGGAGTGGCACTTTCCTAACCATGTCATCTAAGGTGTTCTGTTAAGAGAATGGAGGAAGGCAGTTCCACTGAGAAGCAAAACCTCCAGGTGCCAAGAAGGGCAGAAAGCAGGACTCCCCAAGCAGGGTTAATACTAGGGTTTACCTAGCTTTACATGACTTCAAATGTAGTTTGATTTTTTTCTGTGAATAAAATAGATGATGTGGGCATTTATGCCAGTTACTGAGCCATACAATATTGCACCAGAGTAGACACAGATACAAACCTGGAGGAATATGGACTCTGGTTCTAAGAATTTCTAAGAGAAAAATAATAGTTTTTTTTTGAAACACCAATTTCAATTCAAAAACCATGAACGTGATAGTAATAACTACCTAAAATTATATTTTAAATTTAAAAAAAAGAATTGTACCTGTTGATACAAATCAAAATGAATCAAAATGGTCTATGAAGTTCAGGGTAGAACATTTGCCTAGCAGACACCAGGCCCTGGGCATCATTCAGCAAAGAGTGAAAAGAGCCAAGGTAAAATAGTTACAAACCCTCCTCAAAAGTGAGGAGATGCTCCACACAGTCACCCTGCGTGAAAGGGCTTCCATCAGTCCAAGGTTCACTTTGTATGACTTCATCTGCACATTCACACCTGAAATCACCAAACCAGTAATGAGGGACTAACATACCAGCAGCTCACAACAAATCACAGCTCTACCCAGGCCTGTCCACTCCCATTAGCAGCCAGTGAGCCAGAATCAATCTGCTCAATAAAACCCAACTTTTTATATCTTACAGGGAAAAAGTGACTGCTGATTTTCACTAATTTCAAATCTAATACACATAACTTACCAAACTACTGCAAACACATAAATGACAATGATATAAATGCCTGGCTACTAACAGAAACATCTCACATTTCACACAGACTTCAAGCTAGGGCGGTGGCCATTCAAAAGTATACTGCAGACACTGAAGAGCTGGTTTCTCAGACTGGCACTACCCCTCAAAAGAGTGAGAACTGTCAAAGAATCATGAAGAACTGCCTCGTCATAACTTCCCCGGTGAGTGGTCTGTAAATCAATCCAGAATAATCTGCTGAATTCCACAGCTGCTGAGGTCAGTACCTGCATACACATCTTTGTAAGCAGAAAAAAGCCCTCAGAAAGTGGGCCATTCATCTGAACCCAGTTCAGAAAAATTCCAGCATGGCAAAAAGCTATGTTATGCAACCACATAGATGTATTCAGTGGTTGTAGACAGACC